AGCCCCAAAAGTGGCCTCAGCCCACATGCCTGTTACTTCTGCAAGGCTTGGTTTCAGTTTACACTGCTCTGAAACACCTCACTTGCCTGCAGACAAGTAGGCTGTCCAGAAGTGGTCTGTTTTTTAACCTCCCTGCTTCTGTTTTCTGGCCTTACCTTGATCTTCCCTTGCCACTGGCATCTCAGCTCTGGTTTGGTTTTGATTTTTTTTTTCCTCTTGCATGGCGCTTGCTGCAGGGTTGTTGCTTCCTTTCCTCTACCATTGCTCTCCTCCGAGCTGGCTGTCCTGGTTTTTTGCCCCAAGATTTTGCAAAGCTGTGGTGCTTTTGCTTCCTATCATGGGCTGCCTTCCTTCTGCTGCTGCTGTAATTAGAAAAGCTGACCCAAATTAACCAAAGCTGGTTGCTAATTTTTTTGGAAGCTGATATCACATTTCCCAGAGTCTAGGTAATGCTACCCTCAGGTACTGCACCAAAGATGACGAAGGTTATATGTCTGTTCTTCAGTTTTAGTCGTGTTCAAGTAAGTAAGGCAGTTGCTATAGAGTCAGACCTAGAGCTTCGAATACTGGAGCTCAGACTTAAGTTCTAAAATCATTTTGCAGGCTTTGAAATAGACACAGCAGTTTTCAAAGCTGTTGAATTCCTGCAGCCCAGCATCCCCTGCTATAGACAACCAGTGGACCTCCCAGAGGTTGTCTTGGAGGCCTTGTAGTCCAATTAAACATCTAGCTTTAGGTCACGATATCTCATGCATGAACGTCGTGTTTTGTGTAACTTCAGAACAGACCTTGTGTCATTAGTCCTTGCTGCCTCTTGGCTGCGCACACTTGTTAAGAAGTGAACCACCACCGTCAGGAGCAGTGGTTCGTCTCCCTCAGTGCATCATGGCCAATTTTAGCAGCACTATTGGTTAGCAGGTATTTGCAGAGTGGCCCAGGGGCTGCTTCTGTTCCCAGAGCCCAGCTTGCCCAGGGATTGCGCTGTTAAGCCCTCCACCTTGTCTTTCAGGATCTGGTGAGCCTCAAGATCCCGGAGCAGTTCCGCCATGCCATCTGGAAGGGCATCCTGGACCACCGGCAGCTCCATGACTTCTCCTCCCATCCCCCAGCGGCGCCTCCACGGTCAGCGTGGGCTCCAGCGAGACGCGGGGGGAGCGGGTCATCGACGCGGTCCGCTTCACGCTCCGGCAGACCATTTCCTTCCCTCCCCGCGACGAGTGGAATGACTTCAACTTTGACATGGATGCCAGGCGCAACAAACAGCAACGCATCAAGGAGGAAGGGGAGTGAGCACCGCGGACCCTGCACCACCCCGCCTCGGCCACAAACTGCTCAGCCCTTGTCTTCCTTCTGCTTGGTACTGCACCCCTCGATGAAGGGCGGAGGGAACCTTCTTGCTCACTCATGCTGGGTTATGCCCTTGATGCTGTCTAGGTCATGCTCCTGGACCACAGCCTCCACCCCA